CCCCAGAGGGGAAGCCTATTCTGCTGCACTTCTATTAGTGCTAGCAGAAGAGGGCTCCCCTCGATCGGATTAGATCCGAAACCGGAAGTGATGTCATGCGTTCCAAGGTGGAACGCAAGAAGCCCACTTGATTGGATGAGACCGGAAACCGGAAGTGACGCTATGCGTTCCAAGGTGGAACGCAGGAAGTCTAAGGGCCGAAAACCGGAAGTAACATGTGAATTTCCCCGCGAATTTGAAAATTGGCATGATATATAAACCATGAAGATTACAACACATCTATATCCCTGAGGAAGTCACCATAGTGACGAAACGCGTTGGATACTACTTTTGGACTTTTTATGCTAATATACAGCTGTTATTATAGTCCATTTGTTATTTTTATTTATTTTATTTTATATTTTTTTAATTTTGTGTACCTCCATTTTGGGATCTCTCTCTACTTTCACCTGGAGACCCGGCCATTACTTCATTATGGAGATATGCTGTCTTACTTCTGATTTCTTGTAAGTGCAATATTTGGAATAAATTTTGTTATTTTTATACAATCTGCACTATCTATATTTTTTCTTTTGTTCCTGAGCTGAAGGAAAAAGGGATATTTTATTCCTGAGCTGAAGAAAAAGTGATATTGTCAGTCCTCGCCATATATATTCGGTCTCCAATGTGGAAAGTACCCCTGACAGGATGACAGGCGTGATTACTACTCCCTTCTTGTAAGTTTTCTACCACGTGCAAATCCAATTTTGCCTAACTTACTTCACTATATTTTGTATTTTGCTATTTTATAGATTCCACGTTCATTTTCAGCCATATTCAGGTTGTATTGTTCTCAACCACCCTCTATTTGTATATATCACCTTTGGGTTTTTATATATACGTCCTTGTGTTTATTCTTTATAGTGTGTGTGTGAGGTACACTTCTCTGAGGGTGTGTTTTTCTAGTGTATCATATAGTAAGCATATCCTTTTTTGTGGCTAATAAAATTAGCCTATACCGTCAGAGTAATAGCCATATGGTCACTAATTAGGGGTATGACTTCCGAGGTTAGTAACCAAACACTAAACTGTAGTTTATCTAGATAGTAAGTTCAAAATGTTACACTCTGTATATATTCACCTTGAGATATAAAGTAAAAAATTCAGACTGTCTCTCTCTCCTGTTTGGAAGATATAAAGTTTGTGATATTCATTAGAGATTAGATTACTAGGGTGGTCGCAGCTAATATACAAACAGGGGTAAAATAAATTCAGTTGCAATATGCTGATACTAAATAGATCCCTCCAGTGTTACTGCATAAGATAGCCCAATAAGTAATCCTAAAAGTCCTAAAAAGTTTATAAATATATACATCTTCAGTGTATCTCTTTCTGCTAATAGAGAAATGTAGAGTTGAAAATAGAAGCTAAGTAAACTGAGCCAGCCTCCTATATTCTTTGAAAAATGGTAATGCCCTGCAGAGGGGTGGGTTACTAAGGAAACCGTAGCTTAACATAGGATAAAGTCACTTGCAACATTGTGGTACTGGAAGAATCTCCTAGTCTTTACTGCATACGGTAAATCCAATATGTAATCCTAAAAATACTTCAAAAGATAGTAGGCACACCTTTAGTATATAGTCTAATAATTTAGACCACAAGTCTCTGAAATCAGTCTCTGAGCCTGGTCATGCAGCAAAACGGGGAATCCCCCCTGGAAAAGAGTATAAGTCCCTTCTATGCAGCTTAAACGTAATAATCTTAAATGTAGCAATTAAACTGCTGACACTATCAAAATGTATCCAAAAAGAGGTGCATGGGTCAAAGAATCATAGTAATAAAGCTACCTATTTCGATCCTAGAAAGGAGTAAATAATATATACAAATCAGCTCTTTAAATAAGCTTAGTGAAAACCTTCCTATCTGGGAAGCTATTGGGGAGAAAAAGGGGGTCTCCAAAACTGCTACTAAATGAGCTGGCTAAAGCTACAAACTACTAGCATAAAGTCATTCACGGACCAGCAAGAGGTAACTGGGCTGCAAAAAAAGACCTAACCTAATGTCTAA